GCGGCCGCAGCCACGGGGGACAGCAGCCGCCCCTCGGAGAAGCCCTCCAGGCTCATCTCCGACTGGGACTTGCTTCTGCAGAGGGCAGGGCAGGGAGGGGCGAGACTCAGGAGGGGTGCAGAGGCTGACCCTCAGCTCCCTGGCCGGAGGGAGCCTGGGGAGGGGCAGAGGGGCGAGTTCATTTAGCCGCTGTTGGACCGTTAGGGGCAGGGACCCTTTAAAAAGAACAACAGAGAACTCACAAGAACCCAAGACAGAGAAAGGGCCGATGCTGGGTTGAGCCAGGGCAGGCGCCCTGCTGGCTGGAGGCCCTGGGGGGAGCCGTGCTCTGTCACTGCACCATGGGGGACCCCCTGTGCCCCTCCCAGAGCTCTATCCCTGCCCCCTCCCACCTCACCCTCTGCTGGGCGGGGCCCTGGAGCCTCTGGGCCAATGTGCTGCAGGGAGTGAACGAAGGTGGGGAAGGTGGGGAAGGGGGTGCAGAGGTTCTAGCTGTGAGAATGCACCCGCCCCCTCCTCTGGGTATGTGCTGCCTCAGGAAATGCGCAGAAGGCGGGGAGAGGTGCCAGGGACCCTGTGGGGCCGGGGATCAGTGGATCACCCTTCTCATCAGCCTCTTGGCCACATCGGGGCCACCCTGGGCAGAAAGGGTCCCAGAGAGGCAGGTAGACCCCCCAAAGAGGGTGTGTAACTGCGGGGGGTGTCTGGGAGCCTGTGTGCATGCTCTGCATGTATGTGCAGTGTATGCACTAGCTGCCCACGTGTCACCCGCCACGCGTGTCTGTGTGACTAGGTCTGGGCGCAGGCGCAGTCTGTCATCCCCGTGCAGGGCTGCCTGTCCAAGCGTGTCCTCATGTGTGCGTCTCGGCCTCTGTCTTGGTGTGTCCTACATGGGACTGTCTGTGTGGAGCTGTGCTCTTAGAGCTGCCCGTGTCAGCTTCAGTGCGTGTACTTAACCACACACGGTGGTGTACGTGAGCGCCTGGGTATCCATCTGTTTGGGTCTAAATGGGTCTGAGTGAGCCTATGTGTTTGCGACCAGGGGGCCGTGTATCTTAGATGCCCACTAGCCGTGTAGGCTTCAAGATGGCAGGCTGGGGGCAGTGGCAGCAAGGCAGAGAGACCGAGCAGAGGGGACAAATTCGCCCCTTCTGGCATGTGTGTGCAGAGCTGTGTGAGCGTGTGGGCTCGGTTTGTGCACAGGACACATGTGTAAGCACATGTGCCCTGGAAGCACACGTGCCCTGAGAGCACATGTGCCCTGGAACTCATGTGCCCTGGAACTCACGTGCCCTGAGAGCACACATGCCCCGGAACACACATGACCTAGAACACACATGCCCTGTGAGCACACGTGCCCGGGAACACACGTGCCCTGAGAGCACACTCTGGGCTCTGCACACACCCTAGCCAGGGCTGGGCGAGGATTACCTGGCGCAGCTGTTGCGGTGGTCT